ATTTGAGGTTGAAAATGAGAATGTGTGTGTGAGTTTGTTTGTAAAATTTTAAAATTAAATTGTTTGCAAACGTCAAGAATTCGAAAAATTCCTCTCAGCGGTTCTACGTTCCTATTTTTTTATCTTGCAGCAAAGAATGTTACTCATACGCCATGTACGGGCGGGGCCATGTAAGGCGTAACAGTAACATTCTTTCCTGCTCATATTTCATTCACAACATTTTGTTTATTAAACCATAGGTTTTCTTTCTTAATAACTTGTTTTTTTTGTGAAAGAACATGGTTAAATACATATGAAAAAAATTACAAAAATGTATTATTTCCGTTTAAACTTTGCATTTTTCTATTCACTTTGCAAATTAAAAAAAAAAATAAATATATATATATATCTTTGTAAAATGACCTGATCTAGATATACGTTGTGCAGATCCGTAATCTATGTCCCAAAATTAAGTTTAGGCGTGTCAGTTTATTTTTTGTGTAATTTCAGCCTCCCTACAGTGACATAGAAGCCAGGAAGACAATCAGATCGTTCAAAACGGTATAAAATATTCGTCGAATTCAGTAAAAAAATGTCAAATGCGTTTTTCGGTTCCTGTGACCATGGAAATGGATTCATTGACGCAAAAGCAGCAAACATGTGTGTTTCAAACTTTTTAAAAATTTCACTGCATACTATTTTCAGGTCAAAAAAAAGGAAAAAATAGAAAAAGCCTTAAAACGCTATTGATTTTTTTTGCTGGCTGTTCTCGTTCTCGACATATTAGAATTTGTCACGAAAAAAGTTCAATTTCCACACTGTGTGGAACGAAACACGAAATAGCTGGCACTTGCGGCATCAAGGAAAATTGCAAGGCTGACGAACTCGCTCCTCATGCCACCACCACCATATTTTCGTATACAGATATCATGGATACATACATATGGTATCTTTTTTCAAACATGCAAACTTCTACTAAATGAAAAATTCATAGAAATCGCCAATGCAAAACGACAAGTTTAATTCTCTACTTAACCACATATCCACATTTAGCTGAGTACCAAGGGATTTTTTGAGAAACGGGGATAACCATAAACCCCATAAGAAATTACAAAGAACACTAAATCTGATTCTAGTGACTGCCACTAACCCTCACCAAATGATGAATAGTTTTGACTAGTTATAGTAATTACTTAGAAAGGGGTAGTATTATATTCACAACTGCGAAATCTCTCCAGCAACATTCTGGTACATTGTGTTTAAGTGGAGTTATAAACAAAGTAAGCAAATAAACAAAAACTTGCTATTGTTCAAAATTGTGCGAACTGTCAGTTTCACACTGTCAGGATAAGCAAATTCTTAACTACATAAAAAGTTTCCTGCTAGCTTCATGTTGCCAATATGTTGCGAGTGTACAACCTGTCGGGGATGTGGTAAATTTCATGCTTATTTTTATACCCGAGCGCACTTGTGCACAAGGGTATTATAACTTTGTTCACATAACGGTTGTTTGTAACAGGCAAAACGAATCGAGATAGATATTGACAAATGTATACATAAATTATCAGAATGAAAAGAGAAATCGATTAAGCGGTGACTGTCTGTCCGTCCGTCCGTCCGTCCGTCTGTGCACACAATAACTCGTGTAAAAATTGAGATATCTTAACGAAACTTGGTACGTGCACTTCTTTTGGGCATAGGACGGACGGTATTGAAAATGGGCAAAATCGGACAATAACCACGCCTACCTCCCATATAACGGTAATTTCCAGAAATACGAAAACTGCGATATTTTAGTAACTACTGAAGATAATTCACTCAAAATTGATATTTACAATGACTGTTAGACGAAAAATAAGAATATTAAAATTTTCTGGAAAATGGGCGTAGCCACGCCCACTTATGGTTACATGTATATATCTTGGTAACCTCTGCACCGATTTCTTCCAAACTTGGCACAGTTGTTGGCCCTGGCACAGCATACCAAACGGCCGAAAATTTTTAAAATCGGACAATAACCACGCCCACATCCCATATAACGGTAATTTAGAGAAATACGAAATCCTCGATAAATCATTAAATATTAAAGCTAATTTATTCGAGATTGATGGTTGCAACAATTTTTTACCAAGACGTTTACGTTTATGATAAAATTTTGGAAAATGGGCGTGGCACCGCCCACTTATGATCACATATATGTATCTCGCTAACCGTTCTAGCAATTTGTACCAAACTCGGTATGGTTATTGTACTTGCCACATAAAAGCAAACCGTTGAAAATTGTTGAAATCGGACTAAAATTTCGGCCGCTTTTCATATAACGGTAAATTTCAGATTTGCCTGAAATTTCAATATTTCGAAATTGAAGGACGCTAGTTTACTTAATATTTATACACCCTGGCTTATCATGTTGCGTAAGCTTTCGGAAAGGTGGAAAACATATATTTAATACTTGCGCCGGGTATTTAATGTTCGGCTCCGCCCGAACTTATACTTTCTTACTTGTTTATAATGAAATTTTGTGTAGGTTAGACAGCTCTGTCAAAATAAAAGGGAACAAACTGAATATTATGTTTTAATTAAAAACCAGTAAAAAACGATATATTTCGCTAGTACGAGTATGTATTTATAGTTCGACCTTATGCTGGATGGAATACATAATTCAAACCCGAAAAAGAAAAGAACTTTTAGTTAAAGAAACCTCATTATTTTACATAAAGAACTCCTAGCGATATCTGTTATAAGAAGGAAATTCGTCTCACCAAAATATCTTTCAAAACATTTGATCGTAGCCTTTGAGTTTATTGTATCGAAAGAATGTGGGAATTAAGAAAATCATTAAAATTAATTTTTTAAGTTATCTTAAATTAAAACATAGTTAAATTAAAAAAGAAAAAAAATTTAGGAAAAGAAAAAGTTTTATTAAACAAATAAAAATTAGGTTTCTTAAAATTAAATGAAGTTAAAAAAATGTTTTTCTTTTTTAAATGATTTAATCTAAATATTAAAAAATAAAGTAAGTTCCTATACAGCAAATGAAATAAAATAAAGTAAATGAAATTAAAAAATATTTAATGTTTGAAGAAAATCTACAAATTAAGTTAAAACACAAAACTGAATTAAAAAAAGCAATAAATGTAAGTTTCAGAAATTGAAAAATATGAAACTAGGTAAAAAAAAAATTTATTTAAATAAATATTAAATGACATTAAAAAAATTGATTCTTTTTAAAACAATAACATCTAAAAATTAGAACAAATTAAAATTGAAAACGAAAATATATTAAAAAAGAAAAAAAATATTAAAGAAAAAAAAACTAATTAAAAAAGAAATAAAATAAGTTTTAAATATGAGAAAATGAGATTAAATGCTTTTCTTTAATATTGCTTTCTTGAATTTAATGTCATTTTATTTATATTTGAAACTCTTTATTTCTTTCTTGATTCGTTTTTTCTTTTTAAAATATTTTTTTAAGTAATGAAATCTAAATATAAAGAAAAAACAATAAAAAATAAAATAGTTCCCAGAATGAAATTAAATCAAAAAATTTGAAAATAATAGAAAAAATAATAAAAAAACAAAAATTGGAATTAGAAAATAAAATAAGTTTCTGAAAGCTAAAAGAAATTTAAATGTGATTATTTGGATTTAATAAAGCTTGTACATAAATTAGCCAGATATTATTTAGTTATTTGAGCATAATTTTTGAATTTTTATTTGATTACATTACATTTTTTAGTGCAAAGTGCAGAAAACTAGCAATTTTGAAGATAATATTACATAACTAAACCTAGTTGTAGGGTTCCCCCAAAACGATATTATTTAGTTATTTGAGCCTGATTTTTGAATTTTTATTTGATTACATTAAATTTTTTAGTGCAAAGTGAAGACAATTAGGAATTTTGAAGAAGATATTACATAATTAAACCTAGTTGTAGGGTTCCCCTAAAACGAAAAAAATCACAAGAAAAATTTGAAATGGTATAACAAAAACTTTCAACAAAATTAACTTTATTTTTGGAGCTTTTAGAAAGATTTTGCGTATGCAGATTATAGTTAATTAAACAATAAAATAATAATAATAATAATAAAACATTTTTCTAAAAGCTAACATTTTATTTTTTTTAATTTTGGTAAAGTTTTTTTTTTATAATATTTCAAATTTTTCTTGTGATTTTTTTGTTTTTCATTTTGGGGGAAAACCTTTCAAGTAATTGGAGTTATAAGTATCTACCCTTTGTACACCTTTAGCTTTAAGCTTTAATTAACCGCAGTTTAGAGCTTTACCCCGTTACTTTCCACCTTACCTTGAGCTCATTCAAATCAGATTAAAAGTGTCATAACGAATGATGCTCATTTTCGAGCCACGAGTGTTCGCGTATCAGTCGTTCAGTTATTATCGAATGTCACGTATACGCCATGCGTGCCCAAGTGCTTTGAAAGCAAGCAAATTGGCTTAGTAACGTTTAGCATTCGATGCATACTGGCTTTTGTTGGTTTTTTTTTTAAATTTTATGGCACAAGGTGAGACATACAATTAAGATTGTAAAATGCAGATAAGGGCATGTCTTTTTGTTTTAATTTACACAACAATGTGAGCGCACGTGCACACCTATGTACTATGTAAACACTCCTATATGTATGTATACATGCATGGTTGGGAAAATTCTGAGATTTGAATTTGAATCACCAACAAGATAAGTGATTTCCTGCAAATACCAGTACAAGCAAATTCCAGCAAATTTGAATAGCAATGATTGGATTTGTATGAAGAAGGGGTTTTTATTGCCTGCACCATTTAGTGATTTGGCGCTTATATGCAATTAATCATGGCACAGCCGTTGAACTGTGACCGACGATATGACTGACGTATGCATGCAAATTTGTGCGCAAATACCAACAAACGCGTAATGGCTTAAGTCTCTTGTGTTGAAGTGGAAAAAGGATAACGATTTGTGTGTGTATGTATGTAACTAAGGTATATTTTTGCAGTATTTTTTCATTCGTTATTCGGTACTTACTTGCATTTTCATGGGATCCGTATTCACTTGACACATGTACTTGCCGGCATCCTCCATTTTCACATTCCGTATGACCAACGTCCACGTATTGAAGTCATTATGTGTGACTGACAATCGATCATTGTTTGTTATCACATGTTCGTGTATGGCCAGAATCGCCTTCGCATCGGCCTTAATCCAAGCGACCTGTAGTAGTAGTTCGGTGTCGAGTGGTTTTTGTGTTGCACGGCATGGTACGAGTATATTCAAAATACAATCGTAGTTAGGACGGGCAAGACAGTCGAGTGTGTGTGAGTGGTGTATGAGAATCGCCGAGATTAGAGCGAAGGAGGTCGAGCAGGAGAACAGCATGTAGAGCCATTGAAGTGGGCGTTGTAGCGTAGATTGTTTATTGATATGCATATGCATATGTGGGTGTATGGTATGTGTACATACAGTTGTTTGGTTGCGTGTATGTGGGTGTTCAGTCATGTTGTGGTGATTCACAGTTCATTTAGTTGAGTTTGTGTATTAGTGTGTGTGTGTTTGTGAGCATGTATGCGGTTATGTTTTCGTTGCGCGAGTATTTGTGTTTGTGTGTATGTGTGTGGTATTGTGTGACCACAGTGCAGCAGTTGTATTCAAATTACATTTTGATATGCGCCCAACATGTGCGTGATTTTTTGTTTGTTTATTTTTTCATTTCGATTTTCATTTTATTTTCGCATATCCAATTCAAATTGGTTTAGTTGTGTTTTTAGTGTTTTGTTGTTGTTGTTGTTGTTATCAATACCCGTCGTTATTTGATGTTTCATTAGTTTTGTATGACCGGGCCACCAACAAAGATAAGCAAAAAAGCAACATTAAACCGCGTACGGCCAGCGAACGACAGCAACGTTGGATTAGCGTAAATGGGCGGAAGAAGCCAGTGGTCATAAAAGCAGCAGTGGTCGTCGTATAGTCATTGGAGTTTTTAGCATAGTTTTTATTTGTATTTTATATTGGGTTGCGCCACCACCATTGTCATCATCATCATCATCAACGTTTATTCAACAATTTCCGGTATTATTTTGTGTGATTTGATTTTTTATTATTTATTTTTTTTTGGTTTTATTTTTAACGCGCCCACATTAACGGATTTGTGTTCAAATCGGATTTTATTTTGTATTTGCAGTGGTGATTATTCAAATTTGTTTGTGATGTTTGCAAGTTTAAATTTTTTTCATACAGTTTTTAATAAAAAAGAAATGTGGTTGGTTTTGAGTTTTGTGGTAAAATATTTTTGTTTATTGCAATTTATTATTTTTCATTTTAGTTTGATTGTTTTAAAATATATTTAAAATCGATTTTAATGTTTATTTAAATTTTTTAAGTCGACGATTTTGTTTTAAGTTTAAATTTTTAATTTTTAAGAAATTTTTTTACATTAAAATTTTTCAGTGATTTTTAATATATATATTTTTTCATATTCATATAAAAAAATTTTATATTTTGATTTTTTTATTTTTGGTTTAATTTCGATGGGAATTAAATTTTGATAACAGGTTTTAAAAAAGTTTTTTTTTTCAGTTTTAATTCAAAATGTATATTTAGTACATGTTTTGTTATTTTTTTATTGTTTTATTTAATATTAGATATGTATTTAATTTAATAATTTTTTATTTTATTTTGGTTTTATTTTATTTGGATTTAATTAAATTTTTTTTTCGTTATATGTGTGTTATTTGATGTTATATACATATTATTATATTAAAATTTTTTATATTTTATTTTATTAAATTTAAGTTTAATTTAGTAAATTTTTTCCACCGCAATTGCCGTTACCGCAGAAAATCGATATGCGTGCAGTAGACGACATGAGTCCGTCGGCGATGTAAAGTTTAGCAATTTAAATTTCAGTTGAACCAGCCATTCAGTTGGTCGTAGTAGACGATAGTAAAGTTGCAGTCATGTGCAGCATAGATTGTTGTTGTTGTGATTTTTGTGTTGGTTGTCATCATTGTTCGTATTGGTGGTGGTAGGGGCACAGCGCATTGTTGGTATTGTTGCCAGATGTCAGCGCCATTTGACGCCGTTTTCGATTTAGCAAGTTTTTCAAGTCCAATTTTTGTTTGTTTATTTTTGATTTGTTTCGTAAGTTTTTTTTTCGGTCGAAGCAGATCATTGCATCAGCGATTTTTGTTTTTGCGCAGCATGGAAAAGCATATTTTGTGTGCAATTAGTGGATATCGGATTATTGTTGGCATCGTTTTTTTTTCATTTTTTTTTATAATTTTTTACGGATGGTTTTTATTTTGTGTTGATTTTTTTATACATTTTAGTTGTCCACGTTTTTTTTTGTTTGATGTGTTAATTGGTGATATATCAATATTTGGCGATATTAAAATTGGTTTTTGCGATAATTATCAATATTTAAAGGTTAAACATTTTCCATTTTTTTTGTTTAAAATATTTTTAATTTTATTTATTTATTTTTGGCAATTTCAAACACAATTATGGGTTTAATTGCATGTTAGGTAGCATATATGAGTTCAAGTTCAATGATTAATTAAATAAGTTACAGCATTTTTGTAATTTTTAATGCCGATCCCAGTTTTTTGTAATATTTTTTTTTATATATATATTTAAATATTTTTTTTTTGTATGTGATTTGTTTAAATTTTGCGCGAAGTATTCCAACGTTGTCAAGACGAGTTCAAGGAAAAATGAAAGCTTATATTTAGCTAATATTTTTATTAAAGTTTTCGTACACAGCGAATTACAATTTAATTTTGTTTTTAATAAAAAATGAATTAACGAAAAATTTATGTGGTGCAGTTTGTGCATACAAGTAACTTCTTTTTATTTAGTTCTAGGCATTCCAAAAAAAATTAAGTATACTAATTTAATCATGAGGTATTTGATCATTATAAAGTATAAAAATTATATAAAAATAATACTTATATTATGTATTAAATACTGAGAGTTAAAATTGGGTGTCCTTGAAAAAATATGTAAGATAAAGCATCCAAACATCTGTTTGTATATACAATGAGTTCATTTTTGATTAGTATAAAAGCATGCAATTACAATTAGATTCCGAAAAGTTTGGTTACACCCAAAACAAGAAGGACGGCTAAGTAGTAGTTCACCTCAATGTAATCAAAATCCTTTTAGGACGTTTCCATTTACAATACTTATACACAGCAAAGCTTGTAAACTCCTATCTATATATGAGTCGTTTATTTTGAAAGTGGTATAAGTCCCTTCACAACTTTTGTGCTTAAATGACCGGTTACTTGTAGCTGAACGCGTCGCACATTCATAGGTACGATTTAGGCGGCCGGAAGTGATATTAGGAACCACACACTATCCCTCTTGATCACGGATAACGCCACTGTTACATTTAGTCGCTACTTTTAGCATACGCATCTGTTCACAATAATCTTATGAAAACAACGTTTGAACTGTCATAATTTTGTTCACAAGTAACTAATTACAATTTTAGTGGGGGGTCACTAATCAACCTGGTAAGTGTCATTGCGTTTTAAGAAAATTGAGTTAAATATTTATTATTTGTACTTGTTGCGTTAAGCATTTCTACATAGATTCCATCTCTTTTCAGAGGTTCTGAAATATACCAGTGTCCGTCCATGTTGTAACTTACTTTAGACTAGAAAGTGTACATATTTACTTAGTTAAACTATGTAGTAAAAATTTGCCACAGATTCACGCTGACTCCGGGGTAGAGGGCATTTGTTGAACTTTGTAGTAGATAAAACTGGATACAATTTTTTTTTGCGCAGCGGATTCAAATATTCTATTCCTAGTAGAAATTCCAGCTGATTCCGAAAATCGAGTTTAATTTTTTTCAATTCACCGGCGTTTAGCTAGAAAAAAAATGGTTCCACTTAATCAAGTATATCTTTCGAACCAGTTAGACAATCGTAATACAAAGTGTAGCAAATGAAAGCCTAAATAATTCCCCACAAACTGTATATCGATGGCTGAGTGGAAGATCGACCTATCTCGGCTGCCAGTTCGAAAACGCTCTATCTCAAAAAACTTTTCAAGAACGCCCTATTTCAGAATTTTATTGAAAAACACCCTATCTCAAAATTCGGTTCAAAAACGCCCTATCTCACTTCAAAATGTATTGAAAATATGCTGAGATAGGGCGTTTTTGAATCGGCAGCTGAGATAGGGCGTTTTTAAAACGAATTCTGAAATAGGGCGTTCTAGAAAAGTTTTTTGAGATAGAATGTTTTCGAACTGGCTGCCGAGATAGGTCGATCTTCCATTCAGCCATCGATATATAATCGTCTCTCAAAAAGAAATAAAAAATTCCACAAAAATAAAAAAAAATCGTTTTCGTATTAAGTTTGGATCAAAGTCTTCCGTACTCGTACATGTTAAATTCAGTTTTTCACACAAGGTATTTATGTTCGAAAAATTTTTTTTATTTATATGGAAGAAACTGCCAGCAACAAACACGTTTTTTAAGCAACGTATATCGTACGATATTATACCGCACGTCATCTGTTTTGGGAGTACCTTAAAAGAGGTCTACACTCCAGAAATCGTCAATAACACTCATGGAACTATATTTTCTGATCACAGGTTGAATTGAGAAATAAAATGCTGCCTTAACGAAAAAAAATATCTTTTTAAAAAAATCGTATTTTGAATCTGGTTTAATCAAAGAACTCGAAGCAAAATTTTTCAGAAAACATATGTATCTGATTTATCAGAAATGGCCTGGCATGAAAATTCTTGTTGAAAAAAAAAATGGGGACTAGAGACTGCCACATTTGTATAAGAGAAGCAAGCTGATCATTTTGTGTTTTGTCATCCTTGAACGACTTTTGCCAACGGTTTTCCTCTGGATATTTTTTTATTTGGAGTTAGGTGAAGCCAAAAGTTTTCGTCGATAAGTCAACTACGATTCAAAACTTGGCAGCCAAAATTACTCGCGCAATTAGCAAGATACCGGTAGTAATGCTGGAAAGAGTAATTGAAAATTGGCCTTCCGAATGGACCACCTACAGCGTAGTCGCGACCAACATTTGAATTAAATTGTTGTAAAAAAGTAAATGCAGAGATTGTTCCTTCGGGTAATAAATAATACAGATTCCGACATCCAGTTCTGTTTTGTCTAAAATTAAAATTTCAGTAAAATCGGTTTAAAAGTAATACTTTTTTCGGTAGCTTAAGTATATAGTAATTTA